GAAGGCTCTGGAGAGACATAATTGCAGCCTTCCAGTACTTGAAGTAGCTTCTGACATTTGGAAGAAAGGTGCATTGAGTGTGCAGGGGGTTTTACTTATACCACAGTACTGAATTTGTTATCTCAGCTGAGCTTAGATCCTCTCTTTCAGGCCTTAATGCAGTGTTACTAAAATGACAATAAAGCCAGAGGATGGCCTTACATTACAGCCAGGGCTGTGGGATCTGTAAACAGAATCTTCTCATAAGAAAAATTATTAAATGTGATCAAGCTTCTGTCTGTCACAATAAATATATTCAGTAGTGTCTGAAAGGGCAGGGTGAGTGTAATGTAGGTGTCTGACTGGAATATGAAAAGCACTACAGATGACAAGCTGAATGGGAAAAACTAATGGATATGGATGGTACAATATGTTGTGGTTCAGAGCCCAGACATACTGGGAAAACATTGGATGGATGGAGAGAGGTCCTTTCTGGGCAGGCACTTCTTCCCTGCTGGAGATCCCGCTGAGCAACTTTGCTAGGTGGGCACCTGCATGAAATTTATTCAGTTGGGAACTGAAAATGGGTATTCATCCATAAGGAAATATTCTGGAGTCACTGTCCACGTGAAGGGGTGAAATGAAATGGCCTATGGTATAAAAGCAGATCTCTGTGTTTTACTTAAGTTTTAATGAAACGTTTTTGCTTCAAGATAGTTCAATACTTCTCCGGAACAGGAAACTTATATGAAAAAAGGTGATATGTTGATACAGGTCTTTCCAAGAGCTACTATTTCTGCTATATTTTCAAGAGCCGATTGAGAGAATAAATAATCTGACAGTGAGAAAAGCAAGAGAGATGCTATTTCTGTTGCCCAAAAGACTGACTGAGAAAACAGACTGCTGGCTTGCAGCCTTTCCCTCCGCAATATTTCCACAATTGGTGGGCATCTGAGTCAGTAAAAATCTGAACAGCTCTCAGCTGCTGTGTGTTTTAGGATTAATATAACAAACTCTGAAGCTTGCAGTGGGTCAGTATGCTGCTTTGGTAGATATGCTTACTAACATGAGCTGATCCTGGTGAAAGGTGATCATCTGAAGATGCATGTAGCTGAGTGACATGGGTTAGTGGGCATGGTGGTGAGGGTTTGACAGTTGGACTACATGAACATAGTGGTCATTTCTAACCTTCATGATTTTATGATTTTATGATTCTATGCCTGGGAGAGGATCTTGAGCTCAACATAGCATAAAGCACACTTTTTATTGGAGTCTGTGCTCACATAACTCCGCTAGCTTTCTCCAACATAAACATTTTATGTAAACCTCTGAGCTGCCCAGTTTTCCATTTGTTCTCCAGACTGGTGGGCCCAATATTGAGGGAGCAAATGTTTAGGAAATCTAAGTGTTTTAACTTCATCTGTCTTTTTAAAGTCTGAATCATTAAGGTAACCAGTGTCCTGAAAATGCTGCCCTTTGCTTATGTAGCACAGAACAACCTTAGGGAATCAGAGGGATGGACAGGTTGCTTTGATACCCATCTTAATTAACAATTACAACAGCTCATGGAGAGTATTATTATGATTAAATAGATGAATTTAGAGACTGAACTTTGTGAACTCATCTGAAGCACAATCTGTGCTTGATGAAATGAAGCTGTGAAGCTGTTTTATAATGATACTGTATTTTTTTTCCAAAACACATAGGTGTTAGCTTCTCTGTCTGTCTGGATATCTTCGAAAGTGTTAATAAGATTGGAGATTCTGATGATTTTTTATTTTGTCATAAGCTGTACAAACATCTCATTTGCAGCTTAATTTATAAATTACATCTCTGAAATGGAACAAATAAGCTTTTTTTGCTCAAGGTGAAGGGACTAGAAAATAAAAATTATGAAGACCAGCTGAAGGATTTTTCTTTTTTTTTTTTTTGTCTGGAGGAGGCTGAGGGGAGACCCCATTGCTCTCTACAACTAACTGAAAGGAGGCTGCAGTGAAGTGTCAGAGTCTTTTCTCGGGTGATAAGTGATAGGATACAAGGAGATGGTTGGAAGTGGAACTTAAAGAGGTTTAGGTTGGACATCTGGAAGAATTTCTTCATGGAGGGTGTAGTCAGGCATTGTGATGGGCTGCCAGTGATGGAGGACCTATCCCTCGAGATATTTAAGAGATGAGTGGACATGGCACTAAGGGATGTGTTCTAGTGATGGGACATGGTAGGTCAGGTTGGTTGGAGTTTGTAATCCTGAAGATCTTTTTCAACCTAAATGATTCTACGAAAAGGAGATCTGTCTGGTTACGCCAGAGATCTAGTTAGCTCAGTAGATTTTTCTGAATTTGTCCAGTAACATATGCTTTAAACTAAAAGAAATGTTATATTTTCCTTCTTATAACCTCTCTGCTTCTGGAAATCAACTATTATGCCCTGAGCTACATGATCAGAGAGTTAAAAGTTGTCACTTGATCCACTGTTTGAAAATCTAATTCCTCTTTAACTAATTTATGTTTTATATAATACCCTATTATGATGAGCATCAGAATAGTATTATGCTTTCTATAGAAAGATGCAATCCATTCCCCGATTTAAACTCAAGACCATAAGGTTTCACTAGTGCTCCCTAACATGGTTTCACATTCCCTGTTTTTGTAACCATTTTGATTTTTTATATAATTGATTCACACACCAGGGATTGGAGGAGTCGAAGCAAATAAATTGAAAGTGCTCTAAATATTCTAAATAATATTTTTAAAAATGCCAGTCATTTTAGATAAGGCAACACATCCAGGTTTGATTTGAAGAAGAGATTTTGGGCCTTAGTAAAATTATCCTGTAGTTATCCATGCTATCAGGTTTGTTTACTGTGTTGCTGAGTGTTCTCAAGTACTTTTTCAGTGAGACACAAGAACCTGGCCAACTACAAATGTCACACCATCCATAATACTGACTTTGTATTAAGACAGCATCATTTGGTCACATGGCCATGCACATATGAGCTCAAAGATGCAACAGACCATAAGCCTATTCCTATCCAAATTTTAGTTTGATTTCCAAACAGAAGACTTCTGCTGGGATTATTGCAACCCTGTTTATCTGGGCTAAATTTCTTCCAGATAAAAAAAAGGAAAACATGTACTGTTAGGCAGCGTTCTCCACTTCTTTTTGAACACTAAAAGAAGTGAAGACTAAATGGAATTGCTGATCACTAAAATATACATACATGTAAATGTACTCAAATGCCACATTTTACATCATGAAGTTCAATCTAAGTGTGAATAGTTTTTCCTTTTATGCTCTTTCAAATACACCTTTACATTATCTCATTATCTCTTTCCTAAATTTCCTTTTTTTTTTTTTTTTTTTTAACGGACAAAAGCAGATTTTTAGCAAACACTAACAATAGAAAATTTGTTCCCAAATGGATACAACATCTCAGTCTGTAATTATGCTATTTCCTCCATACTGAAACAAACATTGACATGAGTATCTGGAAGATTAATGTTATGCTGATGACAAAAATGGAAAAACAATTTGGGGAATCAAGAGGTAATTAAATTCTTGACAGACTCACTTGAATGAGGACCATTAGTTATATGAATGAATTATTCCCCCGAGGCTTTGATTATATACAGGAAATAGGCATTTAACAAGTGATTTCACTGGCAATATAAAGCATATTATCTCCCCAAATAAATGGCAAAGTTAATTTACAGGCTCGCAGAGAGTGGCCATTTCAAATGTAAAAATGTAGAACTGATTCCTTAACAAACGCAGGGAGATTAAGATTTCACAATGCTGTTTATTGCATATTTTCTACCAAGCTGAACTCTGATTCCACATAATAAATAAACAAGGAAAACTTGTTTCAATCAGTGCAATTATTCTCCTTTTGCAGTGAACTCAAGAATTGTTTGCTATGGCAGTAAGGGAAGTATTTGCAACTCTGAATTATTATTTTGCTGGCATGCAGAAGCTTTGGACCCTCTCCATTAGAAACCGTGTTGCAACAAGGGGAACTTCTCACTCTGGTAATCTGTTATAGGCTGAAGTAAAAGAAATTGATTATCTAGGACAAAGGAAGTATTTCTATTCCCATTACAAATGAAAAATAAATAAGAAAATGTTAAGAATGAGAATTTTAAATGGGCAGGAGACCTCAAGAACTGCAGGTCTGAAAGGGATTTGCTGAATCACTGTTTTGCCCCTTTGCCAGCCCCTACCTATGACTCTTTCATTATGTGCTTCCCTGTGTTTTCTAAACCCAAATGGGACTTTCTTTGCTGGTGGCTTCAGCCAAATTCTCGTTTTGTTCTGAAACCCTGACTTGTAAATCCATGCACATCAACTGGACTGTTTTCAAAAGCAAATCCCTGCAATGCTGATGTCAAGTATTCACTACTGCTGCAAATGTAAGCTACACTTCTGCAGAGAAACGTATGTCCACAGTCAGGACTGTAGGTATTTCTCAAGTTCAGACAGCAGTGTTGGGCATCAGAGCTGTGAGCGCTGCCGATTGCTGGGCACAGTAAAGAAATGCTGCAGAACGACAGCAGCAGAAATGCTGCTCTGGCTGCATAGTGCTGGTGGAAGGGAACTTGCAGATTTGGTGCTGGCTGGCCCATTGTGAAACACACCCGTGTTCAATGTCTGTCACAACTGTCAAAGTAGTGAGTCCCCAGACCTCAAATTTGCATCCAGAACTCTAATATTCAACCTTTTGTTTGAGATGTAACACCTTTCCAAGTCAGGGAGTTTACATTTCTTTCTCTGTTCCATTAAACGTATACCAATGTGCACTGTTTTTTGAAGTCTTTTCTCCTCTAACCTTCATTTAACTAAAATTGCACCTTCCAATTAGGAGGCATTGTCAGTCAGTATTATTCTGAAAAGAATGACTATTAAGAAGATCATCGTACTATACTCTTGTATACTCAAGATTCCTTAAGCTGCTGAAATTTTATCTACTCTTAAACATACAAAATGATTAAAAAGTGCAACTTCAAAAGGTTTCATTATTTACATACCCCTTTTGCATCAATGACACCAGGCTTTGCATTGAACTTCACAGTCTTCAAACGGGCACGCTCCTTCCTTTCCACTCTGTGGGAAGCAAAAATAAAGAACCACATGTTGGTTGGAGCAATGTTTTCTACGATGTGTCTGATACTCAATCTGCTAAGACCACATGGTACACGAAGTGAACGTCAAAAACAAATTTTTACAAATAGTAAGAGATGTCAGGTCATTTCCTCAGCCAATCACAGAATCATAGAATCATTAAGGTTGGTAAACACCACGAAGATCATCTAGTCTAACCATCGCCTCATCACCACCATGCCTCCTAGGCAGCCCATGAGCAGCATTCTGCTGGCAAACACAGGTCTGGCTCCAAAAAGCCTTGGCAGCTGAACAGTGCTTCCTCCCAACAAGCATGCAAACTAACATTTCACCTGATGAGTTAAAATGTAAGACACTGCAGTTGGACAGAGGAATCTTAGCACTTCTCTCTCTCTTTACCCCATTTTCCAACTGTTTCCAACAATGCCCCTTATTATTGTTTTCACTGCAGCTAAAAAGCAATCCGGTAATAAAAGTGAATAGGTTTTAGTGATATCAATGAATTGATTAGCCAGTTGAGATGGTCAGATAAACACTGCAGCTGGTCTGACTTGATCAGACTGGAAGAGGATGCTCCCTTCTTTATGTTTCAGAGCAAACTTCATCTTGATTCTCAAAAAAAAACACAACAAAAACAACAACAACCCCCAACCCCCCCAAAAAACAGCAAAAAACAGCATCCAGCACACACAGGCAGATGGATTGACCACAGCTTTGTAAAGCCCTTTTTATGTATTTAAATCTTTTCTCTGTTTAAACACAAAGTTCTTCAAACCTGTCTGTACTAATATCACAGGTTTTTTAAAGGTCTTGCCCTCCGCTTGCCCTGCAGAGTGAATGCTGGTTCACTGAATTGATTTTGAACATGCTGCCCTTGGAACCTTTCTGTTGCTGGTTTTTGAAATGAATTCTAAATTTGTCTTCTGAAAGATGGAGGTATGCTATTTCTTACAATATTCAAGTGCAGAGAAGCTTGCTTCAGGTTTTGCTTATTTAAAACTACAGTTTTTCCCAAATGAGCTTATCTGAGGAGAGATACAAATGCTCCAGGGCAGAAAAACTATTTTCAGCTACCCTAAAATGCTGTGAAATAGGTGGGTGGTCTTTTTTTTAAAACTATTATCTCCATGGAAGCAGCATGGAAATATTTTTTTTTTTTTTTTTCTGATTTATTTCAGTGAAGTGGGTGGATTCTGAAGACAAATATGTGGTTGGACTCGATGATCCTTAAGGTCTTTTCCAACCTGAGAGATTCTATGATTCTGTCTGCAGGTACTCATAACCAAATAGTGTAGCCATGTAAGGAAAGAACATAAATGATGTATTTCAGTTTCTTTAGTCTATTTCCAGTGTGGTACCAGGAACTGACCACTCATCAACAGATGGATGCATTGGGTGAGCATATCTCCAAGATCAGTTCAGTGCAAATGAATCTAGTGTCAAGAATCAAGGGAGCTGCAGAAGATGAACCAAAGTGCAGAAGCAGAAGGCAAGAAGGACATCTGTGTTGACAGCTCTCTCATGGCCTGAGCTGGGAAACCAGAGCAGACAGCCCATGTGTGCCCACCTCATGGGACCGAAGAGCCCAAACTGCAGTTGTAACACACAACTTGCCTCAGCCTGCACCATTCTGGTAATTCTGTTTTTAAGGAAGTTGAGATGCTCCAATGAAAAGCCTCAGTGATTATTTGATCCTAATACCCTCTGCTTCAATACGTACAATTTTGGAAAGGAGTTGCTACCTTGTATATGCAACACCTTCACAGTGAGAAAATACCAAGTTCTCTTTAGGAGAGAATTAGCTTTAAGAGAGAAAAAAATCACTGACAATAAGCTAAAGCCTGGCAAATTCAGATTACGAAAAGCACAAAGTTTACTTTTTAATGGTTAAGAAATTTAGCCATCGAAATAGCACGGAAGAGGTGTATCTGGTATCCACATCTTAGAATCTTGACTGGAAAAACAATTTCCAGTCACCAATGTTGAAAAAAAGACACACAAGATAGGCTTATAAAGGAGATCAGACAGTGTTCCTTTTCTGTCTCTAAATAACATGGATCGATATTATAAGTTGTCATTATTTGGTGAATGGGCATGATTTTAAAAAATGTTTGTAAACATTAAAATCTACCAGCACAGGGAGATATGTGCAGTTAAAGTTTTACCTGGCGGTGAATGATATAGTAGATTTTGAAAGTTCATCCCAACTACAAGATTTACTCATGCTGTATATTTAACTTATTAATACAGTATGCTTGAATAATAACACCAGTAACTCTAAAAATGATCTGAGAAAAGTGAGCTCTCTCCCTAATGCAATCAAACTCCATGAAAGGCACGAGCAAAGAGAAAAATCTACTGCAAAGGAAATCTACTGAAAAGAAAAGCTACTATTGCCCTTACCTTGTCTAATACAGTCATAACTACAAAGATAATACTTACTACCTTTGCAAAATCATCTACAGGATCTACTGGACAAGTCACCTATAATTGAAACAGTAACACTGTTTGTCTAGGATTATGAATTTCTCTAGGAAATCTAAGACCAATCCTGCAAAGCTAGCTCGTAACAGCTCAATATAGAGCTCAATATAGTATTTTTATTAGACAATAAAATTATCTGGAGAGAAAAATGAGGTTTATTATATCCTCTAAATTGGCCCAAATATATCTCTTTTTGTAACTTGCACAGTTTTCCACAAATGGTATTCAAATATATTCTTTTAGACCTCTTGGTTTCTAAGTCTGGATAGTAAGATTGCTTAGTTTTTGGTAATTTTTTTTTTTTTAATACAAACTCGATTCTTTTGATAGAATGATAATTAGCACAACATGTTTTCTTCTATCTGAGTGGGCTTATATATTTCCTACTGAAACACAGTGAATGCTGGTTACTATAGCTACAGTTTAAATTTAGAATAAATGCATTTCTCTGTATGTGTGGAATATTCACATGGAAACAGCTCAAATGCAGCTTTTAAATTAAATCTGTGTTATTAAAACCACATGAACAGTTTTAAACTCAAACTAGCAGATGAAGTCCCCTGATAATATCAGTAAGAAATGAAGACTTGAGGCTGTATAATTGCCTAAATAGGATGGATGCCTTCTGAGAAAATAACTACCTCAAATGAACACAGTATTCAACTTATTAATCTGTGTTAACATTTACACTCATGCCAATCCTTTCTAACTTCCTAAAACATCTGCTTCTAACTTCATTTCTTTTTCACTGCATAAAGAAAGTTGAAAATTAACGTTGAAGAGTGGACCTTATTTATGAAATTCTTCATAACTTTTTATTAGCGGCAATGGTGGGAATGGCTGCACTCTACAGGCAGAGAAGACAAGATGAGGAATGACAGAAACATTCTACATTGCTTTGAGTAGTCCATAAATAACATCATTAAGTGCCATTAATCCTCCAGGCAAATGTATCAGCAGTGTTCATACATGCTTATAATGCCTCCTGAATATTACAAGCATTTCATAATCTACACCTCTGTTGAAGAAAGCACACAGTTTTGTTCTTCATTGCAATTTTTCGGACACTTTCTACAGTACAAGTCTTTTCAGTTATTATTTAGCTGAACCAAAAACTTCCAAGCTGAAATTTTATGTGTCTCAGGGCAAATGCAATACTGCTGCCGCCCGAAGTGCCATTGAAATGGGTTAACTCTTGGAGAAAGACTCAGATAAAATAGATGGTTGTGCCCAGGATATAAAATTCTTTTAAAGCACTTCTTCTGTTCAGGTGCTTTACTGCCTTCACAGAATCACAGAATCATAAAATGACTTGTTGGGTTGAAAGGTGCCTTAAAGCCCATCCCATTGCAACCACCTTCCATGAGTAGGGTTGGCCCCCACCAGCTCAGACTGCCCAGGGCCCCATCCAACCTGGCCAACACCTTCAGAGATGGGGCACCACAGCTTCTCTGGGCAGCTGTGCCAGGGCCTCACTACAGGAATAGGTTCATTTATTGGGTGAGGGACTTGAAGTATGACAGGAGGTTGCTCTGATATCATATTTTCTGAAGAAATCATCTCACTATCCAAATGTCTGAAATGCTTTGTTTCCTTGCGTGCTCTGGAGATAAAATTTGATAAAATTTTGTTCTCTAAAGATTTTGTCTTTGTTGAGTGACCACAGTGTAGATTGCAGTGAACTGAAGTTGTTTAATTTCTCCTTACAGCTACTGGGTCATTTTTTGCCAGAGAGCCAAAAAGTGAGTGAAAAATGTTGGGAATTATGAAAATAAAAAATATTGAAATCAGTTTTTTTAATGTATCTTTTTGTATTTACATTTATTCGATACGGCTCTTAGAAATACATCTTAGTAAATATTTAAAAGGAGCACTACTTCGATCACTTTTAGCATGTATCTTCGGTTTTGCAATTGCTACATTTTAACAACAAAAAAATCACGACTCCCCTTATCGCCAAGACAAAGTGGGTTTTAGGCGCAAAGAGTTTTTCACAGCAGCTAACACTGTGAATGCCTAAATAACAAAGGAGTGCAAATTCTTCATACTCCTCCATTCCTTTGGCTGCTAGAAAAATCACCATCCCTTAGGCAGCACTTCGAACGATCATCAGAGGAAAGCACTTTTAAAGAAAGAAATGTTTCATTTAGAATGGTATCCATTTTTTATTTACCATTGCTGCACAAAGTAGGATTATAAACTGGTTGTGCGAAAGATTAAATGAAGGGGAACAGTTTCCATCTGCCAACTTATGCAAAGACTCAAATTTGCAACCAAGGATTGACTAATATACACATTAATCTCATGCCCCTTTCTGATTATAAATCTGCTCAGTAGAGTTATGCCTAAGAGTTACAGGAAAACACAGGTACAATTTCTGAAACTACTTCATGACTCAAGTCTCATTTGCAAAAGTTCTGAGGGTCATTGAGGCTAAATGAGCTTTCATGAGGTGTTCAAAGACATCCAGCATTCAAATAATAGAATCATAGCATCAT